TGCCTCCTCCTCCTCCCACTTCCTTCTCCATCTTCCGTCAGCGTTCCTCCCTCCTCCTCCCTCCCGTCCTCTCCCCTCATCCCGCCTGTCTTCCTTCACCTCCTTCCTCCTCCTTCTCCCTACTCCTCTCCCGCTCCTCATCCATCCTCTTCCTCCTCCTCCTCCTCCTCCTCCTCCTCCTCCTCCTCCTCCTCCTCCTCATTCATCGTTTTGTATGTTTCCTCCTATTTGCCAATACCCAGCTGGGGATACGGTCGTTCTCCGTTTGCGACTGCCCACACTGGAGTTCAAGTTCAGTTAAGGCGTGATGTCTTTCGCACGGCACACATAGCGAGCGTGCACTACCCCCCCCCCCCGGAGCGACTGCAGGGTAGAGGTGGAGATGTTGCCCGCCGTTCTGGTCGATGCCATCTTCTCTGCATCGCCCCCTACTTACCGCCCAGGCCGACTCTCGCGAAGCAGAGGATGGTCTACCAGGAAGCTGTCGACGAGCTGGCGCAATGGATTGCCAGGATGGCTGGCATGTGCTGACTTGCCATTGCTCGATCGTTTTCGGAGGAGACTCGAACGACAACGCAGGATCGCCAGCAGCATCTTACATCTCAGATGGAGTGAACCGAGTAGGTGACCTCTACCCTCGGCCCGAGCATCACTGCCCAAACAGGTGGAATCGTCGACACGTTCGGGCTGGAGGGGGCGCACGACACGTTATTCAACAGAGCAACCAGCTCCAGGACTGACAACTTCAGCGCCCCCAGAAATGGGCTCTCTCGTCAATCTCGGCCTGTCGAGCTGTCGAATCTCACCAGCCCTCTGGGCGTCGGTGGTTTAGGGCGTTTCCTGTACCGCCCCTCCCTCTTCCCATTCGGGGAGGGGTTTACCCCTCCCCCTACCCCCTCCCCACTGACCTGGACAGGAGGGGCGGGGAGCGGTCAGAGCGTCCAAAACGGCCTCGGCGAGGAAGCCAACATCATTGATTTTACTATGGTTTGGGCCCCATTTTGGCCTTCTGAGGGGGCAGCGCCAATTAAAGCTCCCCTCTTCTTTGATCGAGTTCCTCCACGATGGCCGCAAGAAGCCCCCAGGATGCCCCAAGAGGCCGCAGGATGGCCCCAAGATGGCCCCAAGAGGCCCCCCAAGAGGCCCCCAGGAGGCCCCCAAGAGACCCCCAAGAGGCCCCAAGAGACCCCCCAGAGGCACCCAAGGTGCTCCCAGAGGCCTCGGCGATAATGTCAAACCATTGTTTGCACTAAGGTTTTAGCCACATGTTGGCCTCTTGGGGGGGGCACTGATTAAGATGACTCCAAGAGCGCCTCGGAGAGCCCAAAATGACCTCCAAGATGGCTCAAGAAATCCCAAGATGTCTCATACTGGCTTCCTCTGTGTGCTGTCCACTTCCCTGATCGAGGCAATCCCACCAGCCCTCTGGGCGTCGGTGGTTTAAGGCGTTTCCTCTTCCACCCCTCCCTCTTTCCCTTCGGGGAGGGGTTTACCCCGGGGGGGGGCGCGAGCGGTCAGAGCGTCCAAAACGGCCTCGTCGAGGAAGCCAAAATCATTGATTTTACTGAGATTTTGGCCCCATTTTGGCCTCCTGAGGGGGCAAAGATGGCCCCAAGAAGCGCCCAGGAGGCCCCCAAAGGCCCCAAGATGGCCCCAAGAGGCCCCAAGAGGCCCCCAGGAGGCCCCAAAGAGGATCCCGAACGGCCCACAGAGGCCCCCCCGAGGCACCCAAGACGCCGAAAAGCCCCTCAGGACGACCCTCTACTCGCCTGGGCGTCGTTTCTGGACGGGCTGGTGGGGATACGCGAAGCGTCTAGAATTCTCGAGCCTCTCGGCCGCAACATGCAAATGGACCCGGACTGACAACTTCAGCGCCCCCAGAAATAGGCTCTCTCGTCTATCTCGGACTGTCGAGCTGTCGAATTTGCGAGCCTCTCTGTCGTAGCATGCAAATGGACCCGGATTGACAACTTCAGCGCCCCCAGAGATCGGCTCTCTCGTTATTCTCGGCCTGTCGAGCTGTCGACTTTTCGAGCCTCTCTCGGTCGTGACATGCACAACGGGCCCGAGAAGCAAAGACAGGGGGCCACGGGCCGCCACGGAAACCTCCGTGCATAGCATCCTCGGCACTCCGCAGACCCCGCGCCCCCTAGCAGGAGCTCTCGCCATCGCTCGGACGTCCATTCCCTGTGTTTTTTTCGGTTTCGTGCGGGTTTTTTCCGGCAAGTGATCAAGGATGCTCCTCGATGGTCCTCGCCGAGGAAAAAACGCACACGTCCGAGCGATGCCAGGAGCTCTGGGACCCCGCTCGGCTGGCTGAGGGAGCGTCCGAAGGGCTCCGGGGGCAACGGTTCCTCGCGACGCCGAGCAGCTATGCTTTCCCGAATGGTCCAAACTGGAACTCAAAGGTGTACCCCATCATGCCTGGGCTCCGGGGGCAACGGTTCTCCGCGACGCCGAGCAGCCGTGTTACCAAAACTTTACCGAGTTGTCCAAGCTGGAACTCCAAGATGTGCCCGATCGTGCCTGAGAGTCGCTCATGTCGGGTGTTCGTAAGCTCGCCCTGGACTGCTTCGCCTGGTCCGCCGAGGGTGACTCGACATATGACGAAGCTCGCGCTGAACAACGATCCCCACTGCAACAACAATTCGAATTACGAGCTGAACTTCAAGCCCTAGCTCTGAAAGTCCCGATCGTGGCCCACGGGAGTGCCTTTATTGAGCTCAAGAAGTCTCCAACAGCGACTACATGCTGTCACGCAGCAGATCAAACCACAACGAAACCAACATCGGCATCACCGTATGGAGTCAGTGGCGGTTCGGGTCTAGGATGCTTGGAAGGAGAATCGGTGGTCACTCGTTCACAGACCATGTAGAAGACTCGCATGCCTCACAGGGGCACCTGGACGCCGATCCTACAGCTGTCGAATGGACTCCTCTAGCTTCAGGGACGAAGCTGGTGAGGACCTGCGCGGCGCCAGCACCGCTCCCTCGACCGTGGCCCACCGCCAGAGTCTCGCACCATGGAGCGCACCGTAAAACGTGTGCCGTATGACTCTGCTCCACGAGCACCGCAGCCACCGGAAGTTTACAGAGGATGAGCGCGACAAGTTCGACGAGTATCGCTTAACCGATCCCCATCCCCAGCGGCGTGGCCTGGGCCCCACTGGCCGGTTTACCCCCCTAGCTGGGGATATAGGTCGTTCCCTTCGGGTTTCGAGGGGTGTATCCCCAACTGGGGTGGTAATTTGGTGGGGGTCTCGGAGGGGATGGGGAGGAGGAGGAGGAGGAGGAGGAGGAGGAGGAGGAGGAGGAGGAGGAGGAGCACGAGCAGGAGGAGGAGGAGGAGGAGGAGGAGGAGGAGGAGGAGGAGGACATGCCCGACTGAATGATGGGGATGGGGATGGGTTAAACGATACCGATTCGAGGCGAGAATCCTGGGCAAACGTACTGGCCGATGCGACGCGTGCGAGGCGCTTTCGCTGGGCTGCACGAGGCGGCGCCCGGCTCCTCCTGCCTGCCCAACGTGGCATCTGCCACTGGACTGAAAGCGGCCAGGCTTGTGTTGATGGGCCTGTTTTCCACCGCCACCACCACCATAAGTTGGAAGGAAAGGGGGTCCTCCTCCTCCTCCTCCTCCTCCTCCTCCTCATCATCATCATCACCATCACCATCACCATTCCATCACCATCACCATCACCATCACCATCACCATCACCATCACCATCACCATCACCATCACCATCACCATCACCATCATGATGATCATCATCATCATTACCACCATCATCACCATCATCATCATCATCATCATCATCATCATCATCATCATCATCATCATCATCATCATCATCATCCACCTCCTTCCCCCAACTTATCTCAAAAGTATGGTGGTGGTGGTGGAAAACAGGCCATCATTGTTCACCGCAGGTGCCCGTTCAGCAAAGCATGCTCCAAACATGTTGGCCTGCGCGGCGACCACTGCTACTGCGAAACAGGCTTCTCTGATTGTCTCCGTGGCGGAGTTCGGCATAGACGACGCGGAAGCAGGGATCAACATCCAGCTCATCACATCGTAGCAGATTACACGGATGAGGAATTCGCACTGGACCAAAGATTATGAACAGGCAAATGCGTTTGGCACCTTGGACACGGACGTATCGGATGATACGAACATGCTGCACATGAATCCTGATGGCCTCTACTTCGGCCAGTTTTCAACCACAACAACATCATCATCAGTGACTGCTCTGGTGGAACGGGACATGTTCGCGTTGAGCAGGGTGTCCTTCAAGGACACCAGTCAGACCCCCTGTGAAGTTAATTCGTGGGTGTTGATCGTGAAGGCATGCAACCATGGATGGCCGAAGGACCTCATGTGCTCGAGCCCCATCAATATGTTGAGACCCCCAGCATCAACTTTGTTACCGCAGTGTTCCTAGATAGTACAGCACGGAAGGCCGCGGAGCAGACAGCGGTGGAGGAAAGAAGAAACGCTGCTGGGAGCTCCCCAATGACAGAGAGCCGTCAGGACGCCGCGCGACACGCGCGATGCGCAGGGCTTACCCTGGCACCCCACAGGAGGTTCAGCGCACAGCACCTCGTAAACCAGGCTACGGCAGGCTGGAGTCGCAGACGGTCGACACGACGCGAATCTGCAGCAGGGGCATTTCCTTTCGCCCTTGACGCAGCGCAACTTGTGAACAAGCCCGTCGGGGCCGCTACGAGTCTTGCTCTGAAACCCCTTCGGCAGGCCCGGGGCAGCCCTACACACAAGTGAGCAGGTCACGGTCCACACAGTTTGCCGGGGGAGGGGCTAACCAACAGTCGCGGCAGGCTTCGCAGACTGGACCTCTTGTTCCTGGACGGGTTTCTGCTCATTCGGCGGCGACGATAAGGGCGGGTATTACACGTATTCGCCGGGGAGACTTGTCGAAGACATAGATCATCGGCGCCCCTGAATACATGTATTGCTCTCCCCTGGGCTATTCGCCCCTATCGTTGCATCTTACTCATGTTACTCATTTGGGGGCTCAGTCTCATGACAATGGCACTACAGCCAAGCAGCGCCGGCGCATTCAGAAACGCATGCGCCGGGCATGGTACTCCACGGGACGCGTTCGGTTCACAGAGCGAGGACCTCGAAGGGTCCAGCGGCTTGCTTTTCCAGCGCGAATTCAGGCTCTACAGGCGATCGTTCTCAGCAGCAGTGATGATAACGCGGTCGACAGTCTGCGCCTCCAATGGGGCAAGGTGGTTTGAAAGGGGATGATATTCACATCAAGCACGTCTCCCTCCCGTCCCAGAAGATCTGGACAAATCTTAATTGAATTTCGACACACTTTGGGCTGCGCGTTCGCCGTCTACGCTAGCTTCAACAACTCGCTGCCGTTTTCCGCAAGACGACTGGCGAGACCGAGCCGACCATACCAGCCGAACTCCTCGTTCACGATGCCGAAAAAGTTGCCCTTTCAATGTAACCCGCGGGCCCTCCAGGTGCCCAACGACCTCAACATGTTTTCCCCCGTGGACGTCCGCAAGGGACTCGTGCAGGCCATCGGGTGGCATCCACCTAAAAAGTCTGCAGGAGGAGTTCGCCCCCAGGGTCAAAAACATCAACTTCCAGAAGCTTCGTGACCCGAACTGGGAAAGCGCTATCGTTGAGGCTGGGCGTCTTCGGGCTGACTCTGTTCCTGCAGCTGGAGGAGGTGGTGGAGGATGCCCTGAACCCATCCTCGATCCCGGCGACCCCGAACATGCCCCTGCGACTCGGACCTGGACCTGCCGCGAAACCCTCACGGATGGAACTCGCTCTGGGCTTGAGCGCACGGAACAGCAAGGGTGGTATGCCCACATGCGTTCCTGCCAGGAGGGGGATCTAGGGGGAGGGGCCTTATCACAAATACTAGCACTAACAAACCAGCGCTCGTGGCGAATGTCAACACACTCCACACGTGCTGTGTAGTTTCAACCTGTTCGAATGTTCTTCCAGAGTAAGCTCTGTCGGTGTAACCGCAGTCCTCTTCATCCTCTTCACCATCCTATCGTGGAACCGTACCCATAGAAATGTCCAGTTTGCAGTCGAGATCATCCGTCGCCCAGAGCCATACAAATACGTATACGTTCGCACGTTGATCTTGGGGAAGCTGTACTCTCCGTTGCGGCCGATGGCGCAGTGGGCGATACGGGTGAATCAGGCCGACCTTGAGAACGCCAAGAAGAGGCGAGCCAGGATTTCGCCGACGCTTTCATTCTCAGGTGGCGGACTCGGAGGGAGGCAAAAACACGCTCACAGCACAGGTGGCTCTGCAGCTTCGACAGCAGGAGCGAGCAAGGACCCGACGATCGGGCTAGACGAGGACTCGAACGAGACGGCGCTGGAAAAACATGAAGGGCTGTCTGAAGTGCAGTCAACATAAGAGAGGGCTGGAGGGAGCAGTTCTCATCACGCATCTGGTTCCTCACGAATGTACGATCAATCCAGCAGGAATGACCGCTGCCCAGACATATCTCAAATCAATCAAAGACCTCCGGGACACCAGTACGGACCCCCGAGCGTGTGTGTGTAGTCATGGCCATCCTGCGTGCGACCGTCGAGCACCCGATCCTGCTACAGCAGTAGCAGCAGCGGGGTGTTTCAAGCACTGGAGGGCCAAGACGGCCTACCAGACAGAAGGGTCCCCGTAATGGTCCGCCACGCATGTTTCGTGAACAGCTGGGCGAACGGAACTGGAGGGGTCTTTCTGCCGATGCGTGCCGTGATTTCAACCCTCGTCCTCGGTCTCGGGAGTGTTGCGAAGATGGCCCCCCCCCGGAGCCCATGACAGAGCGTCGGGTTCAGAACTCCCTGCAGAGGATGAGCCGGGGCGCCCGCCACCAAGAAAAACTGTCTTCGGTCTACGCAAAGGGGCGGGCGCTGATCTTGAAAGCAGGCCCGCCTCGTCCGCGTTTCCCCCCCTGCCCCCTTTCCCCACTCGCCCCTTCTCGTCGCGCTCCCCCCACCCTCTCCCTGGGTGGGCCCGCTCTTGAGCGTGGTAGAACCCAAATCGGGGGCGAGTGGGATCCCCGTCGCAGCTCGGACAGCAGGGGCCGTCGCGGGAAGGGGAAGGGCAAGAGTCGTGGGCGGCGTCGAGGTGCAGCTGCGGGCAGCGGACCGCGTCGCCTTGCTGTGTGCTGGGCTTGCTTCTGGTGCCTCCCCTCTTCCCTCGGCTCCATGGCTTCGTTTCGTGCAGCCCTCGAGGGATCTCTCTCGACTTTTGTCCGAATGAAGTTAGATGAGTTGATGGCCCCATTTTCCATCACCACTACCATAGGCAGGACGGGGGAGAAGGCAGGATTGGGAGGTCCTCCTGCTCCTTCTCCTCCCCTTCATCCTTCTCATCCTGCTCCTCCTCCTCCTCGTCCTCCTCCCCCTCATCCTCCCCCTCCTGCCCGAGGCAGTGGTGGTGGAAAATCGGCCCATCACGAGTGCAGGTTTCTCGAAGCTGTGCCGTGCTCCCTTCGGATTGTTCCCGTAACGATACAGGGAGGGGCTCCCTCGATGTTCCATGTGGCCACGATGTAAGCGAAATGATTCACACGCGCCCTGCCGGCCGTCAGTCCGCTTCAGACCGTGAGACCTGGCCATATGCAGAGTAGGCAGCCAGCCAGCTCCCTCCCATTCCTCCTCCTCCTCCTCCTCCTCGTCCTCCTCCTCCTCGTCCTCCTCCTCCTCCTCCTCCTCCTCGTCTCTTCTACACCGTGCAGACACCGCTAGAAGCCGAAGAGACACTGCAGGCACCACTAGAATCTCTACACCACTACCTCCTCGTCGGGGAAGCCATATAATTCCGACACCACTACCTCCTCGTCGGGGAAGCCCTGTACCTCTCCCAGGGTTCGTTATGACAAGGATTTCGAAGCGAATACGGTCGAGGCAACGAAGGCCTCCCAAGAGGCAAACAAACGTGCAAACGAGAGACGGTCACTGGGATATATATGTCGTGCTTTTTGTTTATGCTCATGTTCCTCATTCTCCTCCTTCTCCTCCTCTTCCTTCTCCTCCTCCTCCTCCTCCCATCATCACTATCATCAGCAGCAGCACCATCCTCATCGCCAACATCATCACCATCATCATCCTCATCGCCATCAGCATGAGCACAAGAGTCAGCATCATCATCATCACAATCATGAGCATCTGCATGAGCACTAGCATCGTCCTCCTCATCATCATCAGCAGCGGCATCAACATCAACATCATCATCAGCAGCAGCATCATCTGCATCAGCATCATCAGCATCAGCATCATCATCAGCATCATCATTATCATCAGCATCATCAGCAGCAGCATCATCAGCCACATCCTCCTCCTCCTCCTCCTCCTCCTCCTCCCTCGCCTCCTCATCATAATCATCCAACTCCTCCTCCTCCTCCTCCTCCTCCTCCTCCTCCTCCTCATCCTCACCCTGCTCTTCCTCCTCCTCCTCCTCCTCTTCCTCCTCCTCCTGCTCCTCCTCCTCCTCCTGCTCCTCCTCCTCCTCCCCCTCCCCTTCTCCTCCCCCCGCACCCCTCCTCTTCATTCCCCTACCCCCTCGGGAGCGGCCCAGAGGGGGGTGCCCAAGAAGGGGGGGTGCAAACCATGACCGGCGGCATGTGCGCGGCCCAGCGGGAAGGCCAGGGACGTAGTGAAAACAGAAGAGGCGGCACGAAATCTGGAGAAATGTCATGGCCCCCGCCAGGATGTCCACCCCCCCCCTAGTCATCACCCCCCTCTTTGCCGCCCCCGACCCCCCCGCCGGGGCGCGGCGCGCCGGGAACTTCTCGCCGCCGACCGTCAGGCACGCGTCGCAGAGCTCCCGGCGCTCGTAGAGGCCCCGGATGCCCTCGGCGAGCACCTGGTCGCGGCTCGCCGTTTCGCGCTCGTGGCCGTGTTACGTCGGGCGTGTCCCCCTGCAGGGGGCTCTTCGACGAGAATTAAAAAGTACCCCAAGGATGGCCAAAAGATCAAAAATGAACCAAAAAATAGTCCCCAGACTATTTTTTGACTACTTTTTTGTATATTATTTTTGGGATATGTTGACTTTTCGTCGAAAATCCCCGTAGGGGGGCACGCCCGACTTCATTGTCGTGGCTGCCGCGGCCGCCGTCGTAATCGCCGCCGCCGCCGTCGTCGAGGCCGTGACCGTCGTCGTTGTGTATGGTCGGCGTCGTCGTCCTGGTACCTGCACGCAGAGGTTGGACGTTGCGTCACGGCGTGTTCCGCGGGGTTTCCGAGGTCAGCTTTCACAAGAAAGCAAACAACTCAATGCGCTTGATGTACAACTTCGGAGACGGAGCAGCAATGGAGCAGTAGTGGGGCAAGCCTGTGGCAACAATGTAGCAGTGAACATACACATGAAGGAAAACAGGGATGTGCGGCGGTCCTTTCACTACAACATCGGAGATATTTCCACCGACGCCACCAAGGCCAAAACAACCCGCGAAAGACTATTGGAGGCTTCTGCGCCCAACCCCATCCGCATCAGCGGACGCGCGGTCCAAACGCCCCCCCCCAATAGAATTCTAACCGGGTTTCCGCCTGCGGGCGGGGGGGCCCCGGGGTGATCCACCCATTTAATTCGAAGTCTGTTAAAGCGAGTGGGATGGAGCCTGGTTTGGCCGATTCTACCTGGGACGTCCTCGAAATTTGCCTGATGTTGGCCTTGGGTTTGGCCTGGTGGCCTGGCCTGGCCTGGCCCCTGGTTTGGCCCCCGGTGTGGGGCCTGCCTCGCCCGACGCGTCCTCAAAATGTGTGTCTGGCGTGGCCCTGGTGTGGCCTGGTTGGGGCCCGACTTCGCTGGAGACTTCGAGGAGGAGGGGGAGAAGGAGGAAGGGGGGTGAGGAGGGGGGAGGAGGAGGAGGAGGAGGAGGAGGAGGAGGAGGAGGAGGAGGAGGAGGAGGAGGAGGAAGAGGAGGAGGAGGAGGAGGAGGGATTAGGAGAGGGTATTGCCTGGTCTCGCCCTGGCCTCGCCTGGTGTGCGCCCCGCCTCGCTCGAGGCGGCCCCACAAGTGGCCCAGCCTGGCCGGCATGAAGAGGCCTGCACGGGGCTCGCGGCCGAAAAAAAAACGCGGACGTCTCTGCCCGGTGAAAGTCGCATCCGTCATGGCCGCCACGCAGTGTTAACATTAAGTCGGGCACGTCCCCCTACAGGAAGATATTGTCCGAAACATAAGAAAAACCGCAAACATATTCACACATAGTCAAAAAGTACTCAAACATCGTCCTCTGACTATTACTATGTTCTGTTAACATTAAGTCGGGCATGTCCCCCTACAGGAGGATGTTGTCAGAAAATTGTTTTAACACAAAATGCCCAAAACATATTCAACCATTGACAAAAATACAGAAAAATCGTCCCCGGACTATGTTTGACTCTTTTTGGATATTCCTCCTGTGGAGGGACAAGCCCGACTTAATGTTACCACAAAATGGGATGTGTCACGAGTTCTCCGGCACTGAACGGTTGATTAACACGCGTCGTGGCAGGCGCGCACAAGCCAAAGTGATGGTGTCATCAACGCGCAGTGTGGCCCACATGCAGTAACACGAGTGCGCTGCAATATCGCGCGCGGCATGAACGTGGGCATTCCCAGGAAGGCGCTGCGGGTCGACATGGGCGCGCGTGGCAGCGTTGAAAGAGAGCCGTTCCGAGGCTGTAAAGCAAGATTGGCAGATTTAGGTAACAATGGCGACGTCTGCGTTCTGAAGTGAATATTCAGAACTTGCTTGCAAAACTGCACTGCGCAGTCTTCCAGTATGTAGTGTTCTTTCGTCTGAACTTGCATTCGTCATTTCAGCGCCATGCGCCCTCGAATAACAACACGCAATGGAACTCGGTCAGGGACTGAATATGTCAGTCGTGCATCGACAATTGAAACTTGATCCATATGAAAATGACACGCAAACCATGTGTCATTGCATCTAAGGTCCTGGGGGTTCTGGGAGGAGCCGGAGCGAAACAAGGTTGGACACCATCAACGACATAACGATGAGAGGCAAAAAGGCTCAAGTAGATCCCCGTCAAAACCAGAAATAAGTCAGACAAGGGTAAAAAGGGCGCGAGATCGGAATAGGAATAGAGCAACAATGGAGCCAGACTAAGACCCGGAATGGAATCATAACGGAACATAAATAGAACAAGCATGGAGCAAGAACGCATCAGTAATGGATCAATAACGGACAAACAATGGAGCAGTCATGGAGCGATAAGGAAACGAGAATGGAAAGAGAATGGGCCAATAACGGGCCAAGAATGGAGCAATAATGGAACATGAGCGGATTGGCGTTGGCAACCGCTCGGGCAGGAATACGACAACATCAGGAAGACAATGAGCAAATGTAATGGGGACTTAACTGCGTCGAGACGGAAACGACTACGTACGAATTAGCCCGTCAAACGAGAACCTTCATGTTATTAGTCAAAACACTGTTCTGTTTCAAAACAATGAATGGTTCCTCAACACGAGCTGCTTAGCGCGTCTGCCACGAGAAGGATAGAACGTCTAGAGATCCGACTGGACTCAAATGTCGAAGTCAGGGACGCCGCGCACCTGGCCAACATGTCAAAGCCACGTCGCCGTCACTTCGAGAAGGCGAGCGAGCCCGGCGGAATCTCAAAGCGCGCGCCCGTGGCGACATGCACACACCACGCTACATGATCTCGGCAGAAACACTCACCTCGCAGGGCTCCGCTTCAAACGGGTAAAAGTAGAGCCCTGCGCCGCTCGGAAGGGGGTGTATCTCTGGGGGGGGCTGAAAGCGAACTCAAAGCCGAACGTAGTTTTGGACGGCTTGCACGCAAGCGCTTAGTGTTCTAACTACACCAAAGAAAAACCCCAATCAATGGATGGCTGAGAAGATCGACCGGGAACCCCGGAGCACGGGAACCCGGAACCCACCGAAATCGGCTACACGCAAGAGTGACCCTGGGTAAGAGTGACCTTTTGTGCGCGGTTTTTTGGGGGCCGCGGGGTGACCAAACCTGGGCGGTCAAGCCGCTGCTACTGCTTCGTTTTCAGCCATCAGAGGGCCCATCTGCGCCCGCACCAAAGGTCACTGCGGCGAAAGGTCACTCTTACGTCTAGTCGCCGAAATCGGCCCGGAACTATGATAACCGGGAACCCAGACACCCGGGCACCCAGGAACCCGGGAACCCAGCCTGCCACCAAGATCGGCGGGAAACTCTCGCCAGATCTTTCCACTTCCGCTATATGGAACACATTCCGTGCAAGCACTGCTTCGGGAAAAGCTCAAAAAATAGTCAAACAATATCTTTAAATTGGCTAAAATGGTCAAAAACCCTACCCAGGTGTATTGTTGGACTATTTTTGGATACTCCTCCTATAGAAGGACAGGCCCGACGCAACCCTAATGCAGCGGAACGAACACCGACATAAACATACAAACTTGGGGTTCCGCGCGGACGTCTCGGGTCGGCGCTGGAGCCCCCCGGGCGGCGCCTCCAGCGCCGCCCCCGGCGCCGGAGGCGCGCGCCAGGGAGGGGGGTCCCGCGCGGATCCAGGGGATCCGGGCGCGGACCTCCGACCGTGTTTGTAACGTTTATGTCATATTTCGCTCCGCGGGGGTTTGTGTTTGTGCTTATGCGGATGCTTATGCTCATGTGCACACGTATGTTTATCCGTATGTGTCTGTCTTATGCTCGTGCTCGCCAGGACCCCATTCACTGGCAGCACTGGTTGGAGAAAAGCAACATGCAAGGCTCCCTCACCGCGCCCAGGGCCGCCGTGCAGCTCTCGGAGCGCAGAACGATGCGAGACGCGAAACGTTTAGGCGGCTGCTCGGGGACCGCGACTGCGCCCGTGCCCCATCGGGCCCATGCAGCCCCAGCCATGCTGGGCCTGTTTTCCACCACCACCACCATAAGCTGGAGGGGGGAAGGAGGTGGAGGACGAGGAGGAGGAGGACGAAGAGGAGGAGGAGGAGGAGGAGGAGGAGGAGGAGGAGGAGGAGGACGAAGAGGAGCAGGAGGAGGAGGAGGAGGAGGAGGGGGGAGGGGGAGGGGGAGGGGGAGGAGGAGGAGGAGGAGGAGGAGGAGGAGGAGGAGGAGGAGGAGGAGGAAGAGCAGGAGGAGGAGCACCACACCCGAAGAGGACGAGGCAGGCGGCCAAGAGCAAGAGACGAAGCAAGAGCCCGTCAAGGGGCAAGAGATGTCCGCTGCCACTCTGGGTGGCTTTCATGACTACCTGAGGAGCCGATTAATGGCACCACTACGCCTGGCAATTGCACGGAGCCGAGCGTGAGCGTGCTGCACAGCACGCCTCGGACAGTGTAGACATTTCGCACGAGAGGCATTGAAGACAGAGTAAATTAAATCGATCGCGACAGCGTGGGCAAGTATCTCGTCTTTGGACCTGGCTTCCCAAAAGCACGGCAGAATGATACTCGCGGCATCAATCCCCCAGGATGGAGGCAAAGGGAGCTGGGCGAGCAAAATAGGACGGAGGAAGGGGCACACAATATAGTGATGAATCTGGTCACCAGCAAGGTTTGGGCAGCCGAAGTGGCAGTAAGATGTGGCGTGGCGGAATCGCCTGCTAGTTGGCCACGCATTGCATATAATGCGAATCACAGCCGTAGCACAGACATGAGGCAAAAAAATTGAGACGAGGAGGAAGCGGCTTTGAATCAGATCAAGTTGAGGACGAGTAACTGATGTATCCCAGTAGCGCACTCTAGCACCGATAAGTTCTTCGACGTGCAGGGCGGGTAGTTGACTATGCATGACCTTCGTGAGCGCTCGCTGGAGACCTCTGGGGGGGGGAGGACACATCAGAGGGGTAGTTAGGGAGGCTGGAGGTGATCTGATACTGCTTCATCCTGTTGAAAAGGACGGGG